GGGAATTCTGGGAGTTGAAGTCCACTCATCTTAAAGTGGCCAAGTTTGGACAACATTGATATTGAACATGGGGAGCTGAGCCTCCAACTTTTTTGGCCCTCATATCCTTTTTTTTCCCCCAAAAGCCATTTTTAGGCAGCCATAGTTGGGACAAAACAAAAACAAAACACCCACTCCCCCATGCAACACTGTTTTGACAAGGAGATAATAGAGATGCAGAAAACATCAAGCTTTTACTCATGCTGTCCTTTAAATTTGTTCCTCACTCATTCCTCTGCTGAACAGCTATGATCTGATTTTTTTTCCCCCAAAATTTTGTAACTCTGTGAAACTAGGCTGAAGCTGCCATAACCTAAAGATGAAGCAAGCACATAAGCATAAGAGAGGACAAAAGCCAGGAAACTTGTCTATGAGATCCCTTTGGGGAGGTAAATAAGAAGGAAGCAAGTTGTTAAGGAAACAAAGGACCTGAACCAGACAAAAAAAGTTGGGCCTGAGCACATGGAAACCCTCACCCCAGTCCCATCCACTTATAAATCAACCAAGCAAGGACTTTTGGGGATAAAAGGGGTCCCAAAGCCTGCCCACTGGGAATCGTCTGAGTCATCTTTGGATCCAGACCTGGCCGCGTCTGTCCCTCTAGCTAGTGCCTGGCAGCCTAGTTGGGAAGGACGTGGGTAAGTGTGGATGAGAAAGAGCAAATGTACCTTGCAATCAGTAAAGTTTTACTGTTACTTTAAATTCACTGGGTCTCTGTATTACAAAGAACCTCTTGTGCCTCAGAGTTTGGCTGGAAGTTATTTGCATGTATCCCTAATTATTTTCCGGCTGTTGACCAGGGCTGTGTATCTTGTCTGCTCTAGCCACACCTATTTGGAAAATCCAGGTAGAAAGCAAGGGAGGCTGACAAGATCTGCATGCCTCAACAGGCTGTGAGTGTGTGAGTGAGTGACCATAAGCCGAACCTGGGGGCAATGTGTGTAACAGCATCTTAGAAAGGGAAAAAATGAATTATATAATATCAGAGACAAGCACAAAGTTAGCACGAGAGGCAAAAATCCCATGTAAGACTTGAGAACAAGAAAATACGGTTAAGGGGAAAAAACTCTCCAATTAACTATATGGGAAGATGAGAAAAAGAAAGACTGCAGAAAGAGTAGTCAACTAAAGCACTGGATTTTTTTATGCATAACCTATCTATAAGGATGTGGTAAAGGAAAATGGGGTTGGAGAAAGGAGCTAAGTTGAGATGAGAGCCAAAATAATTAAGTCAGAAGATGAAGACACTGAAGCTAACAAGGATTAGACCTGAACAAAAGAGATCAAGAAGGGCAGAGAGCAATCAATATGTTACATTTGAAAAATAGAAAACCAGCTTGAGTGTAGGTAAATAATTGAGTGACGAGTACATACAGGCTAAAAACATACAGCACAAACCTCCCTAACTCTCAAGATAAGCAAACAGCCTTTCATCTTACTAGCTCCTAAAACTCCACTGGTTATCTATCATGAAAGTACTAAAACTAGACTTGTGCAGTTTAAATGTGATTTGGAAGAAATACTTTGAACCTCACAATTGTGTAGGACCTCTGACATGCATTAAAGCAACTTTGGTTTCCATTGCAAGCTTAAAATTAAGGTAACATTGGTTTAAGAGTCACATTAACTTTAATGAATCAACCTCTTAAAGCAGCTGTATCTTTTTTCAGGCTCACATGAAAGCACTTTTTCCAAATCATTTCCAAAGTGCAGAGCTCATTGAAAAAACATTCATGTTTGCTTTGAGAAGCCATCTTTAAAAGATGTTTCTCCTGATTCACGACTCTTCAGTATGGATATATCACCCTCCCATGACAAACACAACTTTGAGACAATAGATTTTATTGTTTTATTTAGTAAAATGTTAAATAAATACAAATTGATCATTTATTCTGCACCCTCTTTTTCTTCCTGGTTTAATAGACTAAAATCTAGACACAACGTTACCAAACCCACAAGGGACTGGAAGGCTACAGAAAGAAGGCAGCAAAGAGACTGAAAAATCACTATGAGCACCAGGCGATTTCTTTTTTATCTTAACCAAAAACAAAAACAAAACCAAGCAAAACCCTTAGCCAAACCAAGTCATATAACTATATACCATTCACAGGGTGATCATCTGTGAAACTGAGGTTGCACCCAATTCATTTAAAGAAAGTCTTACAAATGACATGAGGACTTGGGCTGCAGAGGCAGTACAAGTGTAGCTGAGTTTAGCTGGAACATACATTGGAAAAGGAAGGGACAATATTATATGGAGTGACCAACTGCTGGTTGCATGAGGTTCCAAAGATGCATATACAGGGCTGGAGACTTGCTGCTGGATAAGCAAAAATGGAGTTTCCTGCGAGGTCAGCCACCTTTTATTACACACTGGTTACTGCAAGGAGTCCTTTCCAATTATCAGAAAGTTTTTGTTACAAACAATAGAATCAGGTCTTAAAGATGCATAGGTGGTTGATAAGGAAGTCAGCAGGAATATCTCTGCGACTGCAAAACTAAATAAATTACAAAATAAGCTACAAATTAGTGTAACATTAAATGCACCACATGTACTTGACAGGGAAGCCTAAATAGACTAGTATTTGTTAATTCTTTTTGTTTTGTTTTGTTTTTTACTGAGAGTTTCCTACTTAAGATACCCAAATTTCAGTCCTGGTTTAATTCCTGTTGGCCTTATATTCGTAACAAAAATTGGCACTAATAGGATTTTTCATTGGTGCATTAAGGGACACAACCACCACAGGTTTCCCCAAGATCTACCTTTATTCCATAACAAGAGTACAACAGTTAACTGATAAGTTAGGAGTACTCCTTACTAAAGTAGAAGATTCTCAGAACAAGGCCCTTCACAGTGATCCAGCTATCATGTTCCTGACATCAAGACTGACATGTAAGTATGTAGCTGCAAAGTGCAGGAATCACCAACAGATCAGGAAAGAAGGGAAATAAAGGTAAGAACTCATTGGGTATTTCCAAAGAGCACTCTTTCTACACCTAAAGAATGGGGAGAGGGGGTATGAGGATCCTTCTTCCCCCCACACACCCCAATCATTGCTTTTATCACCTTCCATATGTAGAGGGAAATTTGCAAAGGAGAGATTTCTTTGTGATTCTAAATCAGGGTTTTAAATTGGATGGAGAGCTTTTGTGGGTAGAGGAGTTTCTTCTCAGCAGTCCTCTACACATAAAGAATGATGAAAAGGATTACAGAGGAAAGACAAAGCTAACATGCTTATCACTGCTTTCCCCCCAAGTATTTAGAGAAAATTTTGCAAATATCTGAAGACAGTTGTTTACAGTTCTAGTGGAACAGAAATTGACTCTTTGGCAGGGTTCATACTTCATGCTAACCAAGTCTTGCTAAGTAAGTTGTAATGTCTGGCTTCATATACCTTAAGCCAAAGCCACATTATGGCTTAGTGTGATGTGTAATCCCAACCTTTCATTTCAAAGATCTTGTACTTTGCAAAGGACACCTAAGATAAACTGAGGTAGAATAAGTGTTGGAGACGGGGAGATATTTAATGCTAAATAAATAGCTGCTTATTTCAGTAATAACGATTTTTAAAAATGGAAGAGCTATGTAGAGCTATCCTAAAACTGGCAAGGCATGCAGATAAGACAACAGCCAGTTACTGTCCATTCTTAGATATGCAATAAATTCTTCAACATTTGAAGAGCATTACAGAACCTTAAGACAGTCTCTCACGATAATCTGTTAATGGGAAGACAAGCTGGAAAGGAACTGAGATGTTTCAGCTAAGTTTAGGCCATTCTGCTTTTGTGTTCAACCTACATCACATTGGTAGAGCCCAGAAATTTAGCCTAACTTCAAGTTTTGTACAAAACTACATAAATCAATCTTAGGGAGGAAAAGTCAATCCCCTTTTTATGAGGCATTTGTGTTTTTTCTGAACCAAATCCACCAGTGGGATCTTCCTTCTTTCACTTATTGTCAGAGTTGAGCTTTGGGGGGAAATAACTACAATGAAAAAAATAATTTGCAATTCTAGGATTTGTAGCAGGGCTCATACATTAACTATGCATTGTAATCCTGAATTGATCAAGACTACATAACTTAAGTAGGAACTTTAAAAAAACAAAAGGATAGTACAATGATTGTAAGAAGGCTTTGCTATGTATTCACATTGTAAAGGAATTCGATGGATTAAATAGGAACAAAACCTTGAAATAAGGAGGAATCACAATGCTAAGCCAAGGCGAAGTATGTTGCTGATCTGTAGCTGCATCACACATCTGTGGTATTTGTGCAACTAAAATCTACTCATTTGTAATTTGCAATCACAGTTGTTTGATACAATTTCCCAATAGAGTAACTGCATCACGTCCCACAAGGACCTGTCCATCTAATCCATTCTTTCAATTTTTTACAATATAGATTAAAAGATTTAAACTCCGATCTACTTCCTCACACATTCACAGCGAATTCCATGATATGCAGCACCACACATTTATAAGAGAACATATTGTGACATACTGATACATGTGACAAGATACAAACAGCCAATGTGGCACTGGGCAGAGGTTGTAGAAAGTTTAGGAGGAGAACAAAAACAAGACTAATTGCAAGCCACTAGCAACCATAAGCATGGTTGTCTCCTAATTCTAATGATGTTTCTGAATGTTTCTCTGACACATTCCTGACATGAAGTGTTATCAGAAGCACTGATCTTGGTAATTCTACCTAATAAAATCTTTTACAATGGCAATCTTATCTAACAAGAAATGTTTTCTTTTCTGTGATTCCCTTTTATTTTGAGAGCAACCCTTTGCATTCAAGAAAATCTGACATCCATTACAAATCATTTTGCAATTTTTGTTCAATAAAGCATGTATTTATCCATTCTGTAAATATGCAAGGGTCCTTCTATAAAGTCCAAACGTTATTTTATATTTTGTGCTGTATTTTCAAAATTCAAATCTAGGAACAATATTCTGTTTCAGGGACACTGAGAAATGGGAACAGCCTGCTGCTGATTGTTTTCCTTTCTTTCCCTTCAACTTAACTGATTACAATGCCAGGGCAGGAGATGCAAAGGGGAGTATGTATGTATAAAATTGCAGAGTAATAAACTCAGGGTATCCAGAGAACAGCCTTATTGTAACATCAAAAAGTGCTGGATGACTACTATACACCTACTAGTCAGAAGAGGTCAAGACAAAAGATTTATTCGTTTTATCAGAATAAATCCAAAACAGGTTTCCAATAAATGGGAGACTTGCCTTAAGAAATCATATCCTTCGTACAGTAAGAAACTGGACCTCAACACTTTTCTTTTTATGCTTCCTTATGGGAGCATAAAAACAAGAAGTTACCCATCCTTTCTGAGGCACTGACTAAAAATTTGTTATTCACTATTTACGGCATATAACGGAAGAAAATAACTTCCCATGGGGTCACTGTTTTAGTCTTTGCACCACATTTAGCAGGAACAGTAGTTCTGCATTTATTCCACTTTCCAGTGAAGGATCAGAGACTATCATGGCCACTATATTCCAGTCAATTCAAAGTGAAATCATGCTCCAGGAACCACTGGAAAAGAAATATAACGCTGTCCACAGTATAAAGTGAAGGAAAGAAAGGGCCCTGTGCATATGGGAATAGCTAATATTTGAGATGTTACTTGTTTGCCACTATCAGTAGCAAACAGCAGATATTCAGTCAGTAGAGAAAACTGGGCAGCTTCACTTACTCCTCACCCCCTAAAAGGTGCCGTAACACAGGGCTAAACATCTTGCAACCTGTCAGGCCAAATGCAACTCATCAGGCATGTAATCTGGCTTGCTAGGATATCCCAGGCAGGCAGCAAAATCATGTGGCTTATTAAATGGTTGGCTTCGTAAGACCCAAAATGAACAGGCTTGTGATCCCAGTAATATTTTGCTCTATGCATTCTTGTGACAATATTATATACTCAGAGCGGCTGTCAACATGACTGATCGGCTGTCTTTCATTTATACCCATTAGTGACATCTAATCTTTGGAAATGTGCTAGCTTCACTACAAAATATCAAGAGTTGACAGTAAAGCCTGACATTTTCAAATGTAAAGCAAGTTCTGTTTGACAGGAATCTTTCTTATTTTTCACTAATTAACTATGAGAATGAATAATCAATTGCTGGGCTCTAAAAGCAAGAAGCCTAACTGAAAATGACTGAAGCTTCAGGGCCAAGAATGGAAGCTACCAGAAAGCAAAAGAACTAATATAATAACAAGCAAACTTCAAATGAGTGTACAAATAAAGTGCATAATGATGCATAGTTCTTCAATGTAGAATAAGCACACCTGTACCATCACTGATGAGCAGAAATAAGAGTTCTGCTAACATGTACCCAGATAATGTTTGGGCTAACTCTGTCATGCTTTAGTGACATGAGTTCTGCCACAAAAAATGTGTTGGGTGATTGCACTGATATATACAAAACTGGCTATTTCAGGCTTACAGATTTGATGTCCAACATCAGCCTTTTGATCATTACAGGATTAGTTTGACAACTGCCTTAAAAAGTAAGATAAGAAGTGTTATCCCTCAGCATAAATCTCTTTATTAGCTTAGGTGCCATATTGCAATAGAATAAAAATTACTAATGCTGTCAATGTTTTTCTCTGTACTTTTACAGAGAAGAAATCCCCTTAGTTTAAAAAATGGTTTCAGATCAGATTCAGTTTTAATCTTGAAGGCTATTTCAACGGCATGACAATATCAACACATCCACCCCAAGGCATTTTTTAAACTGAAACCACAGCATTATGGCAATACCAGAAATAAAATCTGTGTTAAAAAAAATCTAAGTACACAGCATTTACTCCAGTTCTGACACCTTTTTAATAGAAATCACTTGTTTAGGAAACAAATAGCACTTTTGTAATTTTTTACAATGTTTCTTACCTTGATCTTATTTTAAGTAACACTAGGAAGACCTCAATATCTTTTTCTTTTTTTTAATTTAAAAAAGTTGTTTTCCCCCAGATACAAAGATTTGCCCTTGCATAAAAAACAGTGCCCAAAACGATGACACACGGACTCACAAAGACTCACTGTATCTCACTGACACTATTACTTCTAATCTATACCATGCAAGGTCCCATCTACCTTTTTAATTGGACTGTCAGCCTGAAAAAAAGAGTTTTTCTATTCCTTATATTTGTAACCAAAAGAGAAAGGAAACAAAGGAAACAGGCATTTTAACTATTTGGGCAATACATTAGGGACATGTGTTGTGCTGTTTGGGATACTGTTTTTGCTGGACAAATGTACCAAAAAGAGAAAAAGAGAATTTTCTTTTCACTCATGACCTGCTTTCCAAAAATGCAAGCTGATCATATTAGTCTCCTTCCCTACCTCAGTAAAAGCTTCCTTCTTAATGTAGCAACTAAATCAACAATGCATTCCATCTGCATCTGAATATATTTTCTGAATGCATTAAAAAAGAGAGTGAGAGAGAGGACAACCCAAAGCTGCCAGTCTAGTAATCTTCAGCCTTTTGGATACTTACTGAAAAATCTTTCCTCTTTCTTTGTTGTGTCTTCTGTAAAAACAGCTGTAAATACTGCTTACTGGATAAGTTTTTATCCCCTCCCCACCCCCTTTTTAGGATACTAGATTTTGTTAATTCTTATTTCTGCATTTTTGGTTTAGTAGTATGGACAATTTAGAAACAGGAAAAGCCCACAGGCTCTTTGGATTTGAAGTTTCCCTAGCTAAACAAAAACTGGTCTGTAGATAAGGTCTGAAACCTGCTCCTCCCTGCTCCCTACCCCCAAATAAAAATAAAAACAAACCTATAGTGGCTGTGGAGGCTGCTGCAGGCACACTCTGGTGTAAAATATAGAGAGAGTAAATATCTTATTTAACTTGGCATGGTGCTGGCTAAGAACCTCCAGCTGGCACTATTCATGTAACATGGTCCAAACTTTGCACGTACACACAGAATAAGAAGGATCAATTGGCAAATCTGGTGCCACCTGGCACGAGTATCTTCATACTCTTTCTGGAACCAAAGAGTTTCTTGTACTTTCCAGAAGAAATCCAGCTTTCCTTTTCTAGAGGGTCTGTTATGTTCTTCTTCTTTGCTGCCATATCCTCTGGCTCCTTCTTATTGTGCTCTGTTATTTAGTCTCATTGCCCTTCTTACAGTTCACCATGCAGCTCTGGGAGGGGGAAGATGCTGGGGTGGAGGTGGCAGCTGTCACATTACTGGTGGAGTCCATGCCATTGGAGATGGCTGCTGAACCGCCCTCAGAGTTTATGGATTTGGAAAGATTGATGCCTTGGATGAGGCGAATTAACTGTTTTACCTTCTCCAATGAACTGTGCATTTCCTTCTGTTTTGCCAGGATTGTGTTCTTCATTTCCATACATTTCTGAAGCAAATCAGAACATTAATCTTAGTGAGTACACTGCTGAAAAAGCCTGAACTAATACCAAGAAAAAGAAAGCAAAATTTGAAAGTGGAATTTCAATAGGCAGAACTGCATTTAGCTCAAATGGACTTATGTTTGCAGAAAGATCTTTTTTTAAAAAAAATTTTTTTGCTTACATGTAGCTCTGTGTACATTTGGTTTAAAACCATGTTTATGCTATAGGTAACGATAAAAAAAGGTCATACTCAGTAATGTGAACTAATCAGTCTTGGATTCTCAACTTTAAAGAGGAAGGTAAACACTAAATTCTTCCCTTTGAATGGCTGAAATTCCTTTCTACCCATCCTGTAGCATACTTTTGGTTTATATGCACCTTGATCTAACAGGAACAATCTGTGCAAGAAAATAAGTTTCTACACAAAAGCTGCAAAGGTGGAATATGATATATATTTCTATATTATGTCTAATCACTGGATGGACAACAGTCATAGTCCATTCTATGACAGTTATCTGTTTGGAGAATAGAAGAGGTACAGTGTAAGTTTGGTTGGCTAGTGGCAAGATTATTCTGCAGCACATCTCTGATTCAGAACATAAACTAATTTAATTTTCACAAGTTTCACAGAAAGGGAAACAACAAAATGAATGGTTTGGGCTGCTAGCAATTGCAAACCGATACTTTATATATTTATTTAAAAAAAAACTCACATAACCGCCCATTCTATATGCCATAACCCTGGGCGTCTCACAGAACAATAAAAACATAAACATTCTAACCAGAGACCATTGGAAGATATGAAAGATCAGGTTGGGTAAAAATTGTCATGGAGAAAATCTATCTATGTGATTGCTAAGAGTCGACAACAACGATGGTACATAATCAATCAGTTAATCAATCAATTAATCTAAGCAGAGTCATAATCAAGGTTCCTTGTGTGTGTGAAGCCAATGTGTTTTCTTGATATGGGGTGGGGTTCAAGAGATTTTAAAACAATATAGAATGTGGAAAGTGATTATTTTTGAGCATACAAAGTTCTTGTTTGTTAGCTAAATATATATCTTGCCTATAGAGGCGAATACGTGTAGCTCAAGGTTGAACTGTGGAGTCCTTGGGGTTCTCTGAGCTTGGTTCTTTTCTTGCAAACGTTTCATTACCCAGCTAGCCAGGTAATGAAAGGTTTGCAAGAAAAGAACCAAGCTCAGAGAACCCCAAGAACTCCATATATCTTGCCTTTTTTCCAGGAACTCAAGAGCTTACATGAGTTTTCCCTTTCATTTATCCCCATAAAAACTCAGGCAGGTAGATTGGGATGAGACTGAATGACTGACCCAAAGTCACACTGTGATTTTCAATAGCTAAAGGCAGAGATGAACCTGGTTCTCCCAAGTCCTTGTTGAATCACTACATTACCTGATTGCAAACAACCAGGTTTTTTTTAAATACAAAAAATCTAATAAAACTGGTAGTTACCTTAATGTGGCTACTTTTTTTAGACAAATGAAAACATAGTCTTTTCATTTATATGTTTAAAAATTAATTCAAAAGTGATATGATTTTATTTTAATATGGAGAAAGAGTGAAAATATTAAAATATCAATGTTCTTACCCAGTGCCAATATCTGGATGGAAAAGAACAGGCTGCAACTTAACTCTATTAAGTGGCTGTGGGTTTTGGGTAGTCCTGGATCTGGAGTGTTACCATCTTTAACTTTGGATGAGGTTATGTTAGGAGTACCATACTAAGAATATGGAATAGGTACAAGCTCAGACTGTGCCCAAAAATGCCTTTACTGGTTTCAGCACAAGAAACATTTTATAGAAAAGAAACAGCAGGCAAAGAGAAATGGTTAATATATCAAGATTTGTTGGTACAGGAACATGGGGAGCTTAAAATGAAGTTAAGAGAACAACTGACTGCAGAGGGATTTAGTTTTCAGTGGTTTTAATATGCACAATTAAGACAGAGATTTAATATAGATTAAAAAAAGTAATTGGAATTGAAAAACAAAATGGAATTTGAAACTGAATTGTGTATGAATGAACATATAATTGCTAAAATGTATAAATTTTTGCTTAAATTTTAAAGGGAAAAAGAACAAGTTAAAGAGTGCATGATAAAATGGGCTATTAATTGTAGTTATAATATACAGATGGACCAATGGGAGAGGATGTGCTTAAAAGGACTGAAATTCACATTGTGTTATAATTTAAAAGAGAATTTTTACAAAATGATGTATTGTTGGTATATGACATAGCTAAGATGTGTAAAGATACTTCTAATCAGTGTTGGAAATGTGGAAAACATGAAAGGTCATTTTATCATGGATGGTGGACTTGTGAAAAAGCAAAAAATATTGGATATAAATACATATAATGTTACAAAGAATTCTAAAGACTAACATCCAGATGAAACCAGAACTGTTTCTATTGGGACTTATGGATAACCAATTAGAAAAGATTTATGGAAGATTGGTTTTGTATATGGTAACTGCAGAGAGACTACTGTATGCACAAAGATGGAATAATACTGAAATACCCACAATGGAGGAATGGATTGTAAAGATGATGGAACTTGAAGAAATGGCAAAACTGACCTGTCCGATCAAGGATAAGACAACAAGTACTTTTATTAAAGAGTGGAAACCTCTTATGAACTTTTTGCTGAAAATGGAAAAAAACGAACTGGTGATTTATGGATTTGCTGATTAAAAAGGGTTGATTGTGGGAAGAAGAGAAAATGATGTAATTTTAATGAGGGAGGGGAGAGGATAAGTTTGTAGCTGCTGTAAAGAATATGGGAAGTTGCTTCTTTATATATATCTTTTCTTTTTCTATTTGTATTTCCTTTCACACTTTTCTTACTTTTTCATTTCACATCACTCTTTTTTCTTTTTCTTTTCTTTAATCTTATTTTATATTACTTCATGTTTATCTTTGAAAAAATTCTTAACAAAAATATATTAAAAAAAACTTTGAATGAGATAACTTTCCCCCAGATAGAGTTAATTTGCAATCTGGGGGTCCTCCTGGACTCATGTCTCCAGTTTGAGAAGCAGGTAGCAGATGTGGCTCAGAGGGCCTTTGCACAAATCCACCTCCTGCACTAGACCAGTGTGCTGTTCCTGGATTAGGAAACTCTGCTCATGGTCACTCATGCCTGAGTCACTTCCCAATTAGATTCCTGCAATGCCTGCCACTTGAGGTTGTACTTGAAAAGCATCTGGAAACTTCAGCTAGCCCAGAATGCAGTAGTGCAGACTGTCTTGTGTGCATCAACATTTGTCTCTGTCATGGTACTACTGCGCAAGCTGCACTGGCTGCCAATAGACTTTTGGATGTAATTCCAGATACTGGCTATCACCTTCAAAGGCCTACAAGGCATGGGACCAGGTTACTTGTGGGACTGCCTGTCTCCAATGAACTCAGCTCATCCCACCAGATCTGCTAGGGTGGGCATCTTCCAGGTCCCTTCTATGAAACAATGTCATCTAGTGAGACCTGAGAGATGTGCCTTTTCTGTTGTGGCATCTGCCTTTGGAACAGCCTTTCCCCTTGAGATCTTGCTGGCCCCAACACTACAGGCCTTCTGTAAGGCTATGAAGACCTGGCTTTCCCCTGGGCATTAGGACCAGGGTATTAGTGGAGCTTGATACGTGTTCTGATGCTGTGAGTTATTTATGTAGTGCCTTGATTACTGTATTATTTTAATTATATATTGTATATTTGTTTTATAATATTGGTCTTTTTTTTTTTTTACTGTTTATTAGCTACCTAGAGCTACTTGTTATAGACGGATACCATATAAATTATCTAAATAAATAAATATCTGTGAAGTAGTTGAGATTCTTTCTACAGTAAGTAATATCTCCAGATTAATATGAGGTAAAAAAAAACATCATCTTTTGGTGGTTCACAATCATAGCTCCTAGTGGAAAGCAAAAGGTATAAATAAATGATCACTTGGTAATGGTTAATACTTACTGTTATAGAATTGCTGAGTTGTTTGACTTTCTGTTCTAATTGTTCCCTTTCCTGCTTTAAATCTGAACTCCATTTCAGTAATTTCTGTTTTTCCTCTTCTTTTGCTGTGAAAGAGAGATTATTAATTGTGCTGTGTAATGTGTTTTCTCACCTATTTTTCCACAATGGACTACCAAAAATGGCAGTTACTGTGATGCTGGATTATTCCTGACATTGCAGATGGATTCATTAAAAAAATAATCTCACATTGTCCTACTAATTTGATCACTAGGGTAATCAAGTATTTTGTTATTAATTTATTATTTTTTATTTAACAATTTAGTAGAACAAAGATTCTGCTCATTTTTCCAAAGAAAATCAAGCCAAAGATTATTTAACTTACCTGTTTTGTATGCAATATATGAATGAACAATTGCTAAAGTCCCTGGCCATGGAATTGCTTCTTCTTTCTTCAACATCTGAAAGAAGGAGGGTGAACATTTGGCTGATATATTCTACCTCTGGGAAGACTCAGAGACAGACATAAAACAATTCCTTTCGCAGTGATCACTAAAAACCTTCTCAAAATGTACATTCATAATTCTCTTCTTAGAACTGTTGTATAAAAGTAAGCAACTTAAATTTCTTGTAGGATTTATTTCTAGGCCTGCTCCTGGATAAGCAACTGGATTGGGATGGCAGGAGGTGGAGGGCTGAGTAAGGAGAAGAAATGAGCAAGGGTATATCTAAGCATTAAACGGAACCTGGTTGCATAGAGGGTGTTAATTCTGCAAATGAATCCACAATTCACAAACTAAATAAAAATAAATGTAGTAAAATTATATATTATTGTGTTTTGGGGAGAATAGAGGGATGGAAGACATAGCCTTGCTTCTTTGAAGTCCTTAAAGGAGCTTAGATTATTACTACAGCCTCTAAATAAGGACACAATTTTTAAATACTTTGAATTATAAAACAGTCAAAAACTAACAGAAATTAACAAGACATTGGCAGAAGGGAAGGAATTGTGTTATTACACATTAACCCCTAATTGCCTATGATAGTAACAAGCATGCTTTGCACAACATCCACAACTGCTCTGCCAAGAAAGAGAGTCCCCCCCTGCCAAAATAAGTAAATAAATGCAATTGGAGTATTGGTTAAATATCTTAATAAAGCATTATTTAGGAAGAAAAAAGACAGCTGAACCATCTCACCACTCTCCCCAAGCTAGTAAACATTTCATTTACTGCATACAAAAAAAACTCCTCCACAGGCTTCTGGAAAAACCCTTAAAATATTAACAGTATGAAATATTCTTTTGTGCTATACCTCCCACAAAGGAGGCCAGTTTAATCACAATGTCAGCGGTTTTGTACATTCCTGTGCATCTACAAACCTTTTCTGCTGTGAATTTTAACAAATCCAACAGGAATGAAAAGGCAACGTATCTGATCTTACATTTTCAGTAAAGATGATGATGACTTTCTGATTCACAAACTGCCGATAGCTCAAATACCAAATGCACTGGATTTTCAAAAAGAATGTAACATTGCAATATAGGAAAGAATGTCCTTTGTCATGTAGCTGCATCTGACCATTGCCATCATCAACATCCTGTGGATATTAATTTGGTATTCACTCAGGGAAGGATGGCCTTTGATGCAGTGGTACCAACTCTTGGAAATCTGTCTCCCCAGCCACAAAGCAAGCAGTGATCTCACAGCGATTTCACTTTGCCACTTAAGACTTGCTTGTGTTTTTTAAATCTTTTATTATTTGTTAAGTTTATTACATTTTATATAATTCTGTATATATTTTAACCTCTGTATGTTGCCTTGAGGTTTACTGCATCACAGATACTATTTAAATTTATAAATGAATGAGCAAACAGCATTCCCCTTGGCGCTATCTCCATCAATGCAGAATAGTGATGCATTTCTCAAATTGAACTGGCAAATGGAGAAGGGAGCTTAGCCATACCTACATATCACAATCAGTCTTTACCGATCTTCTTTATCCCATAATAGGATTTATATTTGCTTGCAGAGCCAACTATTTGCCTGCAGAGCCAAATACTGTATGAAGGACTGCAAGGAAGAATTGACAGGTGTATGGGGAAGTGTTAGGCATTCTTCTACTACCTGCCTCTACAATAAATGCCCTTTGTTGTGAGATTAGCATTATATTCAACATATAGATTTCTTTAACTGGCTGAAAATAATGGATTTTCCAACATATAAATGAAAACGTTAATTTGGGTGGGGAGGGGAGAAATAGTTATGGGAAATGATGCAAGAGAGAATTTATGGGCCAAAAAAAGATTTTGTCAATGTTTCTGAACTTTGCCTCTGACAACCAATTACAGTACAACAATAGCAGAAAAATATCCTGCAATGTAGAAAACAAAAGTAAACTTTTAATGAGTAAGTTTGCAGAACTGCAAAAATTCATTTAATTTAGAAATGCCTAATGAGTTGTAGACAAGCTTGACTACTGGCTAGTTCCTCTAACTGTACGTAAGACATATGGAAACTTATTTTATCTACTACAGACAACGCTTTTTGATCTTTCTCTTTTGTGCCAAACAATACCTGGTCTTGACATTTGGGACAAATCCACATGCCCTTGGGAATAGTTTTCAGAGGTGGGTCTAGACAGTCCAAGTGATATACACGTGAGCATGTGTCACACATAAGTAGCTGTCCACTTTTCCTGCAAACACTGCAAAAATCTTCATGGATATCACCCTATAAAATAAAGGAAAAAGGAGAAAAAAGTTTTTTAATGTTTGCAATCTACATTGATAGTCGAAGTAAAGCTTATGCATGAGGGAATCCTATGTA